ACAGGCGCTCGATGTAAACGAGAGACACATCTCACCAACACGGCGGCTGTGGTGAGTGGTTACTGTCTCAGAAAAGTGTGTGCTCACAACTCTGTAAATAGTGTGGCGTTCGGCTCGCCACACCTGTCGGCATAGTTAACTGTCTCTATAACTGGTCATGCACAGTGGTAGCCTAGTCTGGTTTTGTGAAGAATGGCTTCGGCATCTCGATTAATTGACGGTGAGAGCGCCAGTGGCTCAATGTCTGTGGCATCTGAGAAAACATCTGGCCGAGGGGGAGGCTCTCGCTTCCTCTCTGCGTAGCTGGAGGAGAGCGGCTTGTCCCGAGCGTGGGTGAAGGATCATGGGGTTTGGGGCATAGCCCTGCCAATGTCAGCTAATCTGACAGCAAGCTCATTCCATGTGATGGCTATGTGGCTGGAGATCCAGTTTATGATAATTATTCTACCCTGAGCAAGAATCCTTTGCGCTATGGTAAGCACAGTGGTAAGGAGGTATATGTCGTGTGGCATGCTGCGCTGTAGACAGTCAGTGGCTGCCCCTGAGTCTGAATGTATGTCCATGTGCCCTTCCCTCAGGGACGCGTGGGCTAGGGCTCCCGTGATCGCAACTGCCTCTTCCTGGAGTCATGAGGTGTTGTCTGTTACCCTCATTGATTTAGTGGCATCCCTTGTTGTAAAGCCGGCGCCTGCAGTGTGGCTCAAGGGATCGACTGATCCATCCGTGAAGTAGATTCTACTACCCGGAGGAGTGATGACTGCAATGACCGTCTCAGCTTCTGCCTTCAGACTAGGCATGGGGTATTGATTCTTTCTCCTTGGCAAGCTCATGACTGAAAACTCGATCAAGGTCTGTGCCAACGGCGGCGGTTCAATATAGTCATGGTGGTAGGGAATCTTATCAAGTAGTTGCTGTTTGATCTGATAGCGCATTAGCACCCTGGCTGTATGTGAGCTGTTTGCAAAGATCTCGCAATCTTGTTCTAGGTGCCTGAGTGCTTTTTTATTTGGTGTATGCCTGGACGACCTTGGAAAAGAACTGTGCTGCCATTAGATCAGTTCGGGAGTCCAGGGGAAGGTTTGTCTCCATGCTGAGGTTAAGGAAAGATCCTGGCAGCTTCATTTTGGATGGCTCCAGCTTTTCTCAAAGTCTTGGCTTGATAGCAGTCAGGGCCACAGAAGCCTAGCCCACAATGGGAAGGACAGAAAGTACAATTCCCCACATTTCCAGCTGTTTCTCATGAGCCTGGAGATGACAGATTTTATCTGGCAATACTTATGTAATATTTAGTATTCTGTGGGTGGAGAGTTCGGTCTCTAACGATGACTGTGATTGTCTTAAATAAGTTTACAAATGTGTAAAACCGGAAAGAAATCCGATTGAGGAAATTATATCAAAATGCTATAATTATTCAAATTACAAAACCTAGGAACAAAGATTGACTTATCTGCAACAGGTATCTCTAAAAAAAATCAGATTTGGCAACTGCGCCGAAGCAATGCTTGAGTGAAACAGTAAATGTGGTTTTATTCCGAGTAAGTAAAGTTATTTATGATGTAGAAGATTATAAGAATATTTGATGCGAAAAAATATTTTCTATATTTCTGATTCTCCGGCCTCGGAGTTTGTTGTCGCATACACACACACACACACACACACACACACACACACATATATATATGTATGTGTGTGTGTGTATATATATATGTGTGTGTGTGTATGTATGTGTATGTGAGTATGTATATACATACATACACACACACACACACATATATATATATAATCTCGTTATAAGAGTGCAATTTCATTGCTGATTTTACTTCACTCCGAGGCTTCCTCCGCCTCTCAGACTTCACTGGCACTGCAAGGTTTTCATTACTCAGCCCTTTGTTGTATTTTTATGATGAAAAATAGTCATTTCAAGCTATATAGAGAAACTTACATACATACATACATAAGATAGAATTTCTAAGACATGACATTTATTGCATTTTTCGGAAGACGAAGAAAGACATTATACATCTTGCTTCTAAATTTCAGTTTCGAGGAGTCTGAGTAGTTACAATGTTCTCTCTTTCTTAAACACTAAACCAGTCGTTTAAGCCATAGTTCCTTGTTTGGTAATCTTCATTAACACTTGGTTGTTAAGGACGTTACTTCTTTATACATATATATCACAATAGAAAAAGGAGAGAGAGAGACCAAGATATAGAAAATAATAGATACATGAAATTTGATTAGTTTAAATGTAAAATCTTACTGAAACAGGCATATCGACCCGGGATATGCTTAGTAAACAGTCCTAGTCAGTGCTTATTTTCAGTGAAAATTCAGTCCTTGTATCATAGGGTTACTGTAGGAACTGTGGGAAACTGCACATAAACTGATCTTGTGTCCTATGTGTCTCCCGGTCATTGCTCTCATGACAAGCAGTCTTGCCCTAGTTCGGTCAACCAGGTACTGGATCTCCTTTTGGAAGGAGAGGTTCTGGTTTACCCATACCCCGAGGTACTGGAAGACCTGAACCCATTCTAGGTACCATTCCCTTGACACACAGACTTGTGCTTTGTACATTAAGTCTCAGAACTATGACCTTTGATTTGGCTGCAGAGTCAACCAGTGGAGATGACTGCAAGATCGTCTGCATAGATCGTCTGGCCTCAAGCATTTCCACGTGTTCACTCTGTGGGGTGGTCATTGCATTGAAGGCTCCCCCTATGGTCACTCAGTCCTTTGGAGAACCTTTGGTTCCTCTAACTTTTGCTGGCTTGGCTTTTCTCCTTTCAGGCTTTGCCCGTGTGGTCTCGGCCTCTGCTGGCTTTACTTGGGTAGGTTCAGCAAAACCTGGCCGTTTCTTAACGACCTGTCGCCTTACGGACGCATCCTTCCCGGCAGAACAGGCCAAGCTCCAAGCATGATGCCTTTTGCCATATTTGAGACATTTGGCTGCTGTGTCCCTTTGTTCTTCTTTATGCGCCTTCAGGCACACCTCAATGCTATGTACCTTGCTACAGAGGCCACCTTGCATCTAGTCTGGTAGGGACTGTATTTTTAGCAGGTGAAGCACCGGAGTGGCTCAGGAACACAGGTTTTGAGGCTGAAGAAGTTCCAGTTACCCAAATCACGGGTGGTGATTGGGGCTCCCTTCAGGGTCACCATGACTTGCCTGGTTGGGGTCTTCCCTTTCGTCATACGTGAAGCCCCCACGACTTGGGGGGGTGATGTGATCACCTCCACATCATAGGCAACTGAGAAGCCAAGAAGAACCATCTTGACTCTCCTGCCTTTGGGATTCAGTGTTGAGATACTCACTTTCCTCCCATCATTAAGCTCCTTCCTTCAGGAAATTCAGGGTAGCTTGATCTTTAAGGACAGTGATCATGCCCTGATCTCTGGCAACCCAAATTGACAACCAGATTTGCCTTTGCATCTCCAATTATCTAACCAACTGGTAAGCATTGTCGAAGCCTTCAGGTTTACAGGGAACCTTAACCTGTGGGAAATGCCTTAGAGGACCCAGACTCTCCCTCAGTGTCTGTGTCAGCACTAGGTCGTTTCGGACCGCCCCCTCGGCATAGATTCTGGGCTTTGGTCGAGTAAGCGGCTGGTTTGACGGATCCAGAAGTCGAAGTCAGACTCTCCCTGTTTTGGGTGCAGGCCTGGAGAGCTCAGCCCGAGAGTCCATCTATTGAACAATTTGATGGACAGATATGTTTTGTTTTTGTGATGTTTTTTTTTACCATGTCTATTTCAGTAGCAGCTCTCGGAGAGTCAGCGTGTGCTATTTCCATGCCACTTGAAGCCTTAAATGGCTTCAAAGTGACTGCCATGGTCAAAGACTTGCATGGGTCTTTCTTGTCAAATTTTGTTTTTTGGATTGCCATATGTAAATAGCACTTCCTTCAATCTCTCATGCCCCCACTCGCCATGGAGTCCAACAAGGAGAAGCTGGAAGGAGAGCTCATTGTCAAACAGCTACAGGGTGAGAGGGTATACGCAACCACTCGTATTAACGGCACTGTGTGAGGCCAACAAAGTAGTGACTGCTTGACCCTAGCCTCCTAAAGTAAACCAGCTGATGGACATGCATAGAGCAGGATCAGGCCACCCATCTTGCTGGAATAAGGGACGAAAGAGGCATGTTGCTAGCCACAGGGTGTACTCATGCATGGACTCAAGTCTCTACAGCGTACTAGGGTGCCATTTACGGCAAACACATGGGTAGGTAAAACACCCTGGGGAGAGACCAGTAGGATGCAATCCCACCTACAGGATAAGCATATTTGGTAGGAACCATTTGCTCAACCTTCCCCCAGTGACCCAATCAATAGGGAGGGCCATCTCAATGGGTGGGAGGGGGCCACCCAAAGATTGGCTCAGCTGAGAGAGGGAACTGAAACTCCTGCACCTCTTCAAGGCGGTTCCTGTTCCGGTAAATCTCGGTTCCAGATCCTGAAGCTTAAGTAGTCGGGAGCCGTGTCAGCGAACCGGAAATGAGGGGAGTCTACGACTCAATAAGCCAGGCAATAAAAATATGATTTAACACACGTTGAGGTGGCCAACTAAGTCTAGGGCCGCCCCTTGTACCACGGTGTCCGATCAAGCATGTCTTAAATGTGACTGCAGCAGATAACCACACAATACTGAAAATGAGGTAGAATGAAAGAAAAGGATCTAGTAATATATATCTAGTAATGTTGCCATCTTCTTAAATCTTCTTGCACTTACGACTGATGCCTAACGTAGATGAAACTGCCCAGGCCTAATCTGCAATTCAAACGTAAGCTTTGAATCAAGGGTTACACCTAAGAGCTTCAGATTATCAACTGAAGTGTTTAATATTCCATTAATCAGGAGCCTTTGATGCTGAGGTAATCGCCTGAAAGACTTATACCAGACCTAAATACCAGAGACAATTACCGGCCTATACCACCCATTAATATCACACCTAATTACCAGACCTATACCAGACAAACTCACAAACTCACCGCTTCTTACAG